GGACTGGTTGCCCAGGCAGCCACCAGGGACGCCCCCTGCGTCAGAGCAGGGAGGAGGTGCTGCTCAGGGCCCAGAGACACCTGGCCAGAGGCCAGGGCCAGGGGAACCCGAGGCTGTGGCTCTGAGATGAGGTGCAAGACTCCGAGGGGGTGTGGGCACCCGGCTGTGTGTGTGTGTGTGTGTGTGTGAGAGAGAGAGAGAGAGAGAGAGAGCTCCTGCCTGGCTTCTCTCCCCACATCACCCGGGCCCCCAGGGGGCAGGAGATGGACTCCCCCTTTCTGGTGAGCTGGGCAGGCCTCACTACCCCACCAGGAGGGGCCTGCCCGGGGCCCACGGAGCCGGTGAGGTGGGGGTGCATTACCTACTTCTGGCATCTGGCTAGCAGGCTCCTTTACGTTTCACATGAGCTTCATCCTTTTTAAAAAATTTATTTTTAAGATTTAATTTGTTTATTCATGAGCGAGACAGAGACACAGGCAGAGGGAGAAGCAGGCTCCAAGTGGGGAGCCCGATGCGGGACTTGATCTCAGGACCCCGGGGTCACGCCCTGAGCCATAGGCAGACACTCACCCGCTGAGCCACCCTGGCGTCCCTCAGGTTGGTCTTAATCTAAGGTGATATTCTGGCTTCGATGTGCCAACTTTGGTCTTTTCACTTCCATGCAAAGTCGGGAAGGGAGTATGGGCCGTGGGTCTCACAGGCCTCCAAAAATGACAAGGGGCTCTAGCACAGACCTCTTCTGAAGGCAGGACACCAGCCTGGGCTGCCACATGAAAGTGCCACCCGCTGGCTTCTCTGGGTGACAACAAGGGGGCAAAAGGCTCAATCCCCATCCTTCCTTGTGGGGCTGCCGCAGGGCTGGGGAGATGAAGGAGATGAAGGAGATGGGTGTCTCCACCACTGAGGCCCAGATGAGGCGGGGTGGGGTGGGGAGCAGGCCCCGCTCAGGCCCCAGCTGCCCCGTGAGGGTGGAGGGGGTTCACTTTTTCCAGGCTGTCACTCTAGCACGTTCGGTGAGAGCCTGGCTCCTGCAGAAATAAAACACCACTCTGAATATAAATGATCTGTCCTTCTGGGAAATTCTGGCCGGCAACAGGACTGCTCAAACATGAAAAGTGAACGGGAAACAATGTGATCGTTGAGAAATCCCTGTGTTCGGGGGGCCGCAGAACCCAGATCGCCCGCGGGACAATGCCTGGGAGGCAGGGCCCTATTTTGATCTGCCAAGCAGGATGAACATTGTGGGGCAAAGTTTCTGCCTGACGTGCCAGGAAATCTTCCGGCAGCAGTTTTTGCAAGGACCGGGCCTCGGTGAGGGAGTGCACGAAGCAGAAGTAATCGGTTTATGTGTGACACTCTGTGGGCAGAGCGGAGATGGGGGGACCGAGGATCAGTGGCACTGGAGGAGCTGGGGAAGAGGGGGTCCCAGGTGGCGGCTGCTTCTCCCAGGCCTGGGCTGCGGCTTGGGCCCGGCCCCGGCCTCGCCAGCGATGCTCATCACTAGGGGGCGCGAGAGCCCTTCCCCTAAAGTGCCTGGGCCAGGCCCAGCCTCCAGGGTCCCCAAGTCCCGGCTGACCCTGGCCCCCAGCCGCCGGGATGGGATGGGATGTTGGGATGTTGAGGGGAAGAGAGGTCCTGAAGGCCCTGCCCGCCCGCCGGCCAGCTGTTGGGCTGGCTTCTCGTTTGCACGGGAGCCAGAGGCCTGGGGTGGAGGGAGGACAGGAGGGCAGCCCGCGATGGAGGGAACCTAGGAAAGATGCTGGGCCCTCTGCTCCCCCCAGGGCCGCTTCCCTCAGGGTGCTCGGCTGGGCTCCTCCTGCTGGGTCACCCCTGCACCTTCTCTGTGTAATGCAGTGGCACTTGTCAAAGCTTGAGCCCCAAGCATGAACCCCAGGCCTCTGTCTCTTTCTCTCTCCCCAGGTCAAAACTAGAAATAATGTCATAGCTGAAGGAGGAGGTGGTTAAAAGCCAGTTTGTTTATGACCTTTAGTAAGTAAGTTGGGGGACAAGAGACTCTAACCTGCGATGGGATTATTTTAAAGGCAACCTGGTCTACTGCCCGGAGGGGTACAGTTCTCCTTCTATGCCTCAGTGACGTGCATGTTTCCATACAACTTGAAGGGTTTGCAGCCCAGACGGCGTCTGCCAGGGTAGATCCAGCAAGAGAGGAGAGAGAGGGCGAGAGGGAGGCAGGTGAGAGAAAAGGGCCTCATGCACGTGCAGACGGGAGTCCTGGGATGATTTTTGTAGAAATCGGTTGACCAGCGTCTCTAGAATCTCCCTGGCATTAGTGCTGAAGGAAAATTTGGGATAGGGCAGTTTCTGCACGTATGCAAAGGTCATTACTCACTTCTGTGGCAGGCAGTCCAGGTCGAAAGGACCCTTGGGGTGTGTCCTTACAGATGGCCCCTGAGCACTTCCATTTTCAGCTTTCTGGTCACAGAACTTGTCGCTTTCTCTCCTTGGGTATTTATGCTTCCCTCACACCCCCCTGATAAAGTCAGCTTGTGAGAGTTTTAAGGAATTCATTTTGAGCCAGTCAGTGGACCGCTTGGAAATCCTGTCCGTTGTACGGAGTGAGTCGCCTGCATATTTCTGTATGCATCACAGAAATAGCCACTGTGGGCGGAATTCAGGAAATCTTTGCACACATGGAAAAGGAGGCGATTTCCCTTCCGAAATGCAGGCCGACTGCTCGTGGCTAGGGCCCAGCTCACAATTCACTCTATAAGCAGGAGGATGTAACCAAGCCACTGTCTTGCCCTAGAAGTCACAATTTATGCTCCTAATTTTAATTTTCCCCCGCTTAGGTCCCAAAAGGATTGATTAAATTTGCTTTGTGGAACCCATTAACGCTAAACTGAATAATGGTGCTGCTCTAGGTTTAGAATCAGTTCTAGTAAATTCTCTGCACATGGGACACTCCAGGAATCCTGTATTCCTCCCCAACCGAATTTTAAGTCAGTTCATAAATGAAAAGGTTTTCTCAATTTACCTAAAAGTTCTCAGTAATTAATTGACATCGAGAGACCACTGCTAGCAGAGGTGGTGAAATGCAAATGGGAACTCTGGCAAGAGAGGACACTCATTATGTGGTTTAAATTAGAAGGTGGAAAACTTCGGTGGCTTCGCAGTACCTCCTTGTTACTCTGGCTTAACTCTGTGGTTAAAATGGGTCACGATGACTTATAACTCATTTTTATTTTTTCGTTGGCTTAGTAGGATGACCAAAGCCAGATGAATAGCTTATGGAAAATCTAGATAAATAGTCTGACACCGGCATCTGTGCAAAGCAGTGGCCATTCTTTCAGAAGTCTTGTTAGAAATTCTGAAGTCATTAATACTGCAAGGCAGACTTTCTTATCTAAGACGAGGGGGCTGAGGAAGTAGAAATGTTGGCAGGCAGAGGGGAGCTCAGGATGCCCTGTGAGTGGGCCTGGGCATTTTTACATTTATATGGTGAAAAATGCAATTCATGGCTCTAAATTCCGGCTGCTTTGCAAAGACTGGTTGCCCTGAGGGAGTAAGAGTGGAAAGGGGTGTCCCCAGGGCCTTCCTGGGTAGGGTTATCAGGAGAGGAGCTGAGGCAGTGGAGGGTGCTCGCTGGCAGGAAATCTTTGCTCACCTTGACCTGAGCCGCTTCTGCGAACTTGAGCAACACACTCCAACTTGTCTAAGTCTCTTCAGGCTCCACTGCTAGAATTTGATGCATTTCCTGGACTGCGGTGCTGGGAGCAGCTCACTGCTTTCAGGGAAAGTGAGATAGAATCTGGGTATTTGTGAAAAGAGTAAGAGCTGAGCGGTCCTGCAAGGCTCCAGTGCGGGGAGGTAGGCTGGGGTGGGGGCTCCGGAGCTCCCTGTCCCCAAGGGGGTGGGTGCAGTTCTCTGCATTACAGTGAGGGGGATGCCGTGGGCACTTCCCCGGGTGGTTTGCCCCAGACTGGACATGATCACCGCCTTCCTGGCTTCCCCTTTTGGAACCCTCCATTTCAAAAGCACCTCCGACAGCTGATTTGCTGTTCAGCAGGTGAGAGAAAGGGCGTCATTCAGGGCAGGATTCGATTCTCTCCTCACCTCTTAAAGTTGCTTGAGGGCTGGTGTCGATTTGAGGTGTTTATAATCAGGTGTTGTGCTTATGTTCAGGTCTGGCACTTAAAACCACATGCAAGTGTTGGTTCTTGTGATGAAAGTAAACAGGTGGATGGGAATTTCACAGATGTGCCGGCGGCATACCCCACATCCAGAAAATTCTTTAAGATACAGTTTCTACCTACAGTGCTTTTCTTTGCATTTGTTCAGACACTGCTCTTAAGGAAAGGAGTGTCGAAAACGAAAGTAGGAATCCGCATGTATTTTTCTGGATTTCCCCGGTTGGAGCGCGTTAAACTCTAATTTGAGGAGGAAAAAAAAAAACAGACCAGTTTGCCAAGTGGAGTGACCTGATTCTTGTTGGATCAACATGTTGTCACTACAAAGCAAGCGTGATGAAGCCCGCCTTTTCAGACTGAAATCAAAGCCCTGGCCTGCCAGCCTGGAATTGCTGAACTAAAGCATCCTCTCATCAGCCGGTCTGTATGTAGATTTAGACATCTCCAGGAGGCTGGAGCCTATCAGGCCTAAACTGATTATTCTAATCAAGTGTTTTAATTAAGCACTTATTGCTAGGATCCCAGGAACGAGGCCTGTTTCGAGCAGTAATGGGCAGTATTTTTTTTTCTTCTTCTTCTTTACGGTGATAATGTTTGGCTTTGTGGGGGTGTATTTAACGTTTTTCTAAAGTAGGCCATGGGAAGAGTCCCCTGTGAAGTGTACGCTGCTGAGCTGGCAGTCTGGCCGGTGGACGCAAATTTAAAAAAAAAAAAAAAAAAGGAAAGAAAAGATATTACCTACCAACTGGGTTGCAGATGAATCAGTACCCCCAACAAGGCATCTGTTTGCATCCTCTGCCCTAAAACACATGCTGGCTAGCCCCAGATTTAAAAAAAATATATAAACACACACACATTGGGTTGGCTTTTATTGGAATGCCTAGATGCAATCTATAGTCAAGTTATGGAAAATTCAGGTCACATATAAAGTTAAGAAGGCAAATGAAAAGAACAATACAAATCAGACAAAATTTACATCTCAAAATATCATGAAAGCATTTTGACTGGCTTTGCCTAAAATACTTTGAATATCAATTTCTTTTTTTTTTCTGTAAGCTAATTCTTTCCATTATACAGTCCCCCACCCCCCAACTCTTAGAAAAAGGTCTTTTGTTTACATATTCCCCAAGGTCACTATTTCTTGTAAAAGCATGTCCAGATCACAAGTCTTTTTAGAAAGAAATAGGCTCATTATACCTACTAACAAGACACTAATTGGGTTGATTTGACTTTATCTAAAATAAGCACCAAGAGATACTCCCAATCTGTTACTTATCGGTGCCAGTGTAGAGGACCAGTCCATGTCGAGAAGAGGGTAGGATTATGATTTCACTTCCGTCATGTGGTACAAGCTTTTCATGGTCAATACATCAGAAACATTTCTGAGAATTTAGACTCAGAGCCTATTTCAACCAAAAGTACTTACAGCATGCTAAATACAGTCCTGCAGAAATCCCATCGAACAGAACTGCAAACACCTAAGTTAACAGTTAAAAAATAAAATGTAAAACAGAGCCATGTTTATGTGGTTTGAAATCTCATAGTTTTCTAAATCGGGGCTTCATAATACTTGCCAAAGGATTTCCAGGATAAAAAATATTAATGCTAATCTGTGCTTTCATTCTAATAAAATATCAGCATTCATTAGAAGATTAATTACTTCGGTATGCTCTACCAAATACACAAAGACAGTAATAGCACTGATACTGTAAATTCAGTAGCTATTTTGAAACTTTCCCAGCCAATCTGTTTAATAAACACGCCTACTGTGCAATTTAGAGTATGTGATACATACAAAGCAGTTAGAAAATTATTTTCAATACATCACTTGAACCTTTATATTTACGACATGTTCACTTGCTATATTTTATCACCATTATACATAGAGGAAAACAGTGTGTACTATAGCTCAATGAACTGAGAAATATTTTCTAAAAATATTTTTGTGGCTGAATTTAGTGCTCACGAAAGAGATCTGCAAGAGCGGCTGGGCCGACACAGAAGTGCAGATGGCTGTGCTTGGTCCCGCTCGCACGCGTGCAGGAGGGCACGGCTGTCAATTCACTTCCAGCTGGATCTGCCTCCACCACCCCCCCGGCTTCCCCGAGACGGAGCAGAGGCTGCCATTCAAACCAGCTCCCAGGACGGTTGGGTCGTGAGGGCTTACAGGAGCTTTTGTCTCCCTTTTGTGTCTCTCTTGGTGACCTGACGGTCCAAACCCAAGACTAGCAGAGTGACCCTGACCTTCTCCATCTGGCCCTCTCACCGCTGCTCGGTTTCTGCTATCTTTCCCAGGTCTTAAGACACATGTTTACGGTCACGACTACATCAGATCCTTTCCTTCTCACCAACGTTTCCTGGAGCATCTGATGTGGTCTCTCGCCTCCATCATGAGACGGAGCTTCAAGGAATGGTGACAGTAAAAACCCTGTGGTTAGTTCTATCAACTCCCCTCGACTGTCAGGGACGGGAGAGGACCTCTCCGGCCCAGTTGTTATTTTATTTTATTTTCGTATCTTCTGCTACATTCCACCAGCCTTAGTTTTCTACTGTGCCTCTTAGTTGATAATGGTTGAGGACACTGGCCAGATGAAAAAGAGAAGAAAGAGGAGGGAGCAGTTCTCTGATTAGCCACCCACTTAGGATTGCACTGTCCTATCCATCTAGTGATAGAAAGTTGCACGTTTTTTTTTTTTCAACCTAATACAAAAATATCAACACTTCTGGACATTATAGGCATAAGTCGTTATATCTCTACAATATAATAATTTATACTGTACAGCTATAACAGATAACAAAAGGTGCAATCCTTTTTAAAAAAATCACACAGTTCACATGTTTTTATCATTTTATTTTTAAGTATAAACTTTTTAAACACTTTACATAAATTAACTCCTCTGAGACTAATATTTGATGTACAGTAAATTGTAATTCATATAAAAATCCATAAACAACTTGTCTCACATAATTTACAAAAAAATCAGGGTTTCCTTTGCTTATCAGTGACAAGGATTCTATTTGCCAGTTTGTTTTATTTTTCCCCCAAGGCAAACCACGTTAGCATTGTAAAATCCATTATGAAATCCCCTCCGGCGCAGGAGTCACTTGTGCCAATGTCCTTTTACAAAGCAGCACAGGGGAAGCAGCTGGGTTGTCTATAAACAGGAATTTTGCCCCACATTTTAAAATTAACAGAGCTATAGATCACATCCTATGCAGAGAGACTACTTCTTGTAAGCAAAGGTCGACAATTCGGTAATATCTGGAGACACTGTATGCATTTTTACCTTAAATACAGTGCCTCGAAGGAACAGAGGGCCCAAGCGCAAAAACGTTTAGGCCCCTTTTGTTTTTTTTTTTCCTCCTTTCTTTCACTTATGGATTTTCCTTGTAATAGTTCCCGTCCAACTGAGTGCAGCGATATGCATATGTAAACATATTCTTTAAAGCCGATCACCTTTAAGGTCATTCAGGAAAAAAAAAAAGTTTTTTTTTTTTTGTGTGTGTGTTTTATTTAATTTGTATTTATTTCAATAGCAGTACCATTCTCCGGAAGGCTCTTCTGTGTCGGAGAGTCCCATTCGGATTGTGCTACAGGAACATCCGAGCAAAGGTGTGTGGTTCAGGCTCAAGAGACACATAGGCCCGCGGTGCACCTGCTGTGGCCGCCGCCGCGCGTGCGCACTGGATGGGAGGGGGCCCGCGGTGCACCCGCTGTGGCCGCCGCCGCGCATGCGCACTGGGCGGCAGGGGGAGGCCCCGCAGTGCACCTGCTGCGGCCACCGCCGCGCGTGCGCACTGGGCAGAGGGGCCCGCGGTGCACCTGCCGCGGCCGCCGCCGCGCGTGCGCACTGGGCAGAGGGGCCCGCGGTGCACCTGCTGCGGCCGCCGCCGCGCGTGCGCACTGGGGGGAGGGGGCCGCGGTGCACCTGCTGTAGCCGCCGCCGCGCGTGCGCACTGGGCGGGGGTGGGGGTGGGCCGCGGTGCACCTGTGGGTCGGTCGGTCCGTGCGTCCGTGGCAGCCGGCCCCGCGTGGCGGGGGGGGGGGTTACCTCTTGCCGATCTCGCTTTGTCGGAGGAACTGGATGTTGTTGGCGCTGTCGGCCAGCTCGGGGTACTGCTCCACCGAGAGTACGTAGTACCCGTCGTAGCCCTGCACCTTGCCCGCGCTCAGCAGCTGCCGCTTCTCGCCCTCCGTCCAGAGGCGCGCGCCCTCCTCGCCGTCGCGCACGCGCTGCTGCTCGCGCGCCCAGGCCCGGGCGAGCGCGCGCTGCCTCGCCTGCTCCAGGATGCGCGCCTTCTCCTCGTCCAGAGTCATGCCGTAGCGCACGTGCAGCGCCAGCGCGCCGAACTGCATCTCCACGTCGGCGAACCTGCGCGTCCTGCCGTTGACCACCGTGGTGGACTGCGACACCGTCACGTTGATGCCGTTCTCCAGGGCCTTGCGGCCGCTCGTCAGCCGCAGCGTGCCCAGGTCGCTCTCGGGCGTGGTGGTCTTGATGAAGTAGTGCGTGTCCTTGCCCTCGATGGTGAAGTGCAGGTTCTCCAGGTAGAAGGCGCTGTTGAGCACGGCCGCCACCTTGATGCAGTCCTCGTTGGCGATGTTGAGCACGTTGGTCTGCACGCGGCCCCGGCTCACGGCCAGCATGACGCCCTTGCCGATCAGCGACTTGACGGTGGCGAACCACAGCCACGAGGGCGCGCCGCCGCCCCGGCGCCGGCTCACCTGCACCTCCGCCATCCTGCCCAGGGACAGGAAGGCCTGGGCCTGCCTCGCCACCTGTTGCTGGACGCCGAAGATGGGCTGCAGGAGGGAACAGGGGGGGGGGGGTGAGAGACCAGCTGTAGCTCGGGGGCGCCCGGGTCGCCGGGGTCGAGCCCGGCTTCCTGGCACGGGCACGGGTTGCCTGACGACAACCAAAAATAAATAAATAAATAAATAAATAAATAAATAAATAAATAAATAAATAAATAAATAAATAAATAAATGAGGGTGGGGTGGGGGGGCTTCTGCGGACGCCCCCAGGCATTTATTACACCCTCATTGGGGGCAGCCAGGGTGGCCCAGCGGCTTAGCGCCGCCTGCAGCCCGGGGCGTGACCCTCAAGACCCGGGATCGAGTCCTGCAGAGCCTGTGGCTCTGTCTCTGTCTCTCTCTGGGTCTCTCAATAAATAAATGAAGTCTTAAAAAAAAAAAAAAACGCTCAGCCGGTTCTTTAGGGATGAAGAGGCTTGTTACACTCTGGGTACAGGAACACACTCAAAGGTCCCCTCCCCTCAAGTAGGTCCAGATGAGTTTTGAAACCGAAAAAGAGGGGACTCCCATCGTGCATTATTATTTTTAAAAGATTTTATTTATTCATGAGAGACTCAGGCAGAGGGGAGAAGCAGGTTCCATGCAGGGAGCCTGATGTGGGACTCGATCCCAGGACCCTGGGGTCACGTCCTGGGCTGCAGGCAGCCGCTCAACCACTGAGCCGCCCGGGTGCCCCCCCCCCAACATGTATTCCTTAAGAGCCTTTTAGTTTCTGATGTGGACAAAATATGGTTTTAGTTCTCTTTTAATTTCTACATGCCCTGTTCCCACGCCCATCCCACTCGGGGGTTCTCAGGGCCTCGGTCCCCATGGGAGCCCGAGGAGGAAGCAGCCAACACCGGCAAGGGTCTGGAAGGCTGCGGCGCCAGGACCACTGCATCCCACATCACATGCTGGGAAACTCGTGTGCCCCGGTTTAGGTAAACCCTGTTCCCTGTCCTGGAGGATGCAGCTGGCAACCGAGTTTCGCCTGTGTGACTGCAGAAGTGGAGTGAACGGTGGGACAGGCAGGAGGGGAGTATTGATCACTGTAGGAAAACAAAGGCTTTTTTCATAGACTTGGTGACAGTGGACCATCTACGCTGGCAAGTGTCTTACACTGGGGGCATCTGGGGCAGCCCTGGTGGCTCAGTGGGTTAGCACCTGCCTTCAGCCCAGGACGTGATCCTGGAGACCCAGGATTGAGTCCTGCATCTCTGCCTCTCTCTCTCTGTCTCTCTCATGAATAAATAAAATCTGTAAAAAAAAATTGGGGGCATCTGAACTCAGCCATTCCGTATGCCGCCAGATGTTTGGCCGGTGTTCCCCAAAAAACATCTGTTTCATCTGTGGCAGTGAAAGAAACATTTGTTTCTCTGTGCTTGGGGCAGCCTCGATGTCTCTGCCTGAGATTCTCCAAGCTGTCCTTATGCTGCGCCTCTCTTGACGGAGAGCTTGGACCGCATTTACGAGGCTGCCTAGGAAAAAAGCTGGCGAGTGCATTTGTACAGTAACACTTAAGTGTTCCCAGACATGTTGGAAAGTCATGCACGATTAGGACGTCCCTGTCCAAATGCATTAGGGAACTTCAGTGTGTCTGCATGGCACTTTATCAGTGTAGATATATCTGCAAATTAGAAATGTTAAAATGGCTCCCAGATCTGGGAAACTTGATGGGTTTTGCTTCTTCAAGGTAAAGGTGACATCTTGAAGAAACAATTGTTTTATGTTAAGTATGAAACATGTACCAGAAAACAGAAGTGCTGGCATTGACTATCCTGTGTGTGTGTTAGCCATGATTGCCTTTTCTCTTTGTATTCACTGAAATTATAGGGAATTGCTCAAGGGGGGGGGGGGATTAATCTTTCTAAGAAACTCTGCACTCTCTTCTTATCATTATGGGGTAACCCAATTTCTTGATCTTTAATTATTCTTGCTTTAAGCTAGAAATTCTAGTGTTTTGTTGTACATTTCTGATCTCTGAACGGTGGGAATTAAAAGGGCCATTTTCTGAAATGGCAGCTTTGACTTTGCAATTTTCCATTCTTTTATTTCTCAGAACAATTATAGGCCTCCTGAAATGTTATTTTCGGGAAAATTCTATAAACACCTAGTTGCAGATGGAGCTTTATCAGAGGACATTGTATTTTTATTTTCAATCTGTTCCCATGAAACACTGTTCATGTTTTAAAGAAGTTGAACTTTGTGGCATTGTTTGTGGGCTGCTAATTTGTAACAGGAATCCCCTGCCCTCCTGTTTATTGTATTTTTTTTGCCTTAAGGTCCCAAGTGCTATAAATGTACTTTCATGGGGATTCTCTGTAGAAATCTTGCACTTAAAAATGAGCTCCCTCATTTTATTACTTTCTGATAATGTCTTTTTATGTTTTTATTAGCATCACTAAAAACAGATTTAAGCCTGCTTAACAGGCCCCTGGTTTGCTGAGCAGAAATGTGATGTTTTTTCTACCCTGAAAGAGTAAAAAAAAAATTAACTGTCTTTGGTGCAGCTTTCACAAGGGCAGTTTGATTAAATGGGTAAATAAGACACAGAGAAGCCATCTATCACCTTTTCCTAGTTTTGCTTTTTGTTTCTTACCGGTACATCATCCCACTGCTGACTCTTCACAAGTTCGTAAGAAGGCTCGGTTAAATCAAATTTGGGAACAGGGAATCCAGGAATAGCATTGTGCAGATGGAAGCCAAATGTCACCAGCCAGCTGTTAACATCTAGGAGAAGAATGTTCAAAATGAAAGGTGTTAGAGTCATTCCGTGCTTTCATAAATTTAAATTCTTACCTTTAGAAAACCCCAAATTCACAAATAATAACCTGAAGAGGAGCACATATTTGCCTTCATTCTACAATTCAGAACCCACTCTCTGTTTTCAGACTTGAAACCACTGGCCTCAATAATACAACTATGGCAAAGGCTACAGAAAACACAGTCTGATAGATCCTCACCGAGACTGGATAAACTGTCACACATGGAAGTTGCATCCTGTGCTAGCAATAAGTGATACAAAAGAGTAATAACAATGCACGGCGGCATGAAAGAGCCACAGTTGTGGAAAACAAAGGGAATTGGTAGTAAAGACTGGTCTTAAATAGAAGTTGTGTGTTATTAGCTTTCAAAAGCGATTGCCCAAGGATATGCAGCTTCCACAACCCATTTTCTATTAATAAAAACCCTAAATTGAGAGAATTAAAATCAACAGTTGATTCTTAATCAAAGATGAATGCTGAAAGCTGGCAGAGCTGGCCAAGGGCACAGAAGTTCTGATTACCATCAGCTAGGACTTCAAAGGCTCGCTGTGCACAGGTGGAGACGAACTTTTGGGGGAGAGAACCTGGAAACCTTTAAAATGGTATTTTAAAATATTGCCATGTGACTCCAAAAGCCATTAAGCTCAGAATAAGGCTTTTATTCTATTCTGGAGGTTATAATGTTACAGAACTACTCAGCAGGCTTGCAGCTTTATGAGTACAGTTGGGTGTAGATTATTTTATATATTAAGCACATTGCTGGAAAATTTGAAATTGCATTTCACCTAATATATTTTATGCTGTTCCATCTCTCTTTTGATGTTTTTCAGAAAGTGCTGCTACGGCATTCCCTGCAGTCTATGTTGCTAGGAGAGGATGGATTCAGAAGCTGTGGGCTTTCCCGCCTTTCGGGCAGCCCCTGTCAACACCTCCTAAATAACCAGTGGTAAACTGCTTGTCAAAATGATGGAGAGCCGCTTGCTTCCTGTTTCCTTCTCAAGGGCACAAACTCTCACCTCATCACCAGGCTAGCAGGTCCTTTGTCCAGGCATCGTATGGCTACAGAACTAGTGGTATTTGCCCTCTTTTAACAGGAGGGATGGTGGTGGTGGTGGGGATGGTGGTAGAGAGAAATCTCAAGTTCACCATGTAGAATAGAGAGTGGTTGTTTTTTTTTTTGGGTGTGTGTGCATGTGTATTAGAGTGTATGTAAGATGACAGGTGGTCTTATGTTTTGGAGAAAATTCTCCTTAGTGTCAGGGACAAAGGTTCTCCTATGAACAACAGCTGTGTAACAGTAAAAAAAAAAAAAAAAGAAAAGAAAAGAAAAGAAAAAAAGTCACAGGGTCTTAAGTACTGAAAAGTACTGCTAGAAAATGGGACTGAGATGCCAGTGTCTGCTGAGAAACCTGAAGGAGAACACCATGAAGGTGTTGCTGAACAAAGATTGTGAAAGAAGGGGATCCCTGGGTGGCGCAGCGGTTTAGCGCCTGCCTTTGGCCCAGGGCGCGATCCTGGAGACCTGGGATCAAGTCCCACGTCGGGCTCCCGGTGCATGGAGCCTGCTTCTCCCTCTGCCTGTGTCTCTGCCTCTCTCTCTCTCACTGTGTGCCTATCATAAATAAATAAAAACAAACAAACAAAAAATTAAAAAAAAAAGATTATGAAAGAAGGGAGTTTCAGCTGGTTCACGTGGAGGAGAGCTAGGACAAGCTTTTGGCAATCTGGGAAAGCAGGAAGCAGATGTGAAATGAATAGGGGGCAGCGTTTTGAGAGGTGTACCAAGAACTGGGAAAACAGGCATTTCAGTAGGCCTCAAATATTGAGCAAGAGAAGACAGCCTGAAGAAGCATCATCTCATCTCACAAGCCAAAACAAAACGGAAAACCCCAAAACAAACAAGAAAAAAAAAAATAAAAAGAAAACAGGGAAAGTCCCTTCTTCCAGGAAACAGAAATTGGTAGAGAGGTTAATTACGGTGGCTTAACTCAGGAATGGAAGGTGGAAGCAGAAAGATTCAGAATCCACGCAGTGGAGGATGAGTGGAGAAGTCAGGAACTAAAGGAACTAGAGCAGTGCTTGCAAAGACCTTGTCACTCTCTTCCTGGTGGCTTTGTGGTGGCAGATGTGGGATGAGCTGTTTCAATTAGATCATGCACTAAACTTGGAAAGATCTTACTACCCCGTACTGACAGAAAAATTAGGGTGTCTATTAGTAGCGCTGCCACGCAGGAGCTGCACCAAATAGCACAAAGACAGTAGTGCAAACAGGACTAGGATCCACTGGCTAAGCAAGTGTTGGGAGAAACTGTTCCTTTATTGTCCTGATGGTGGTGGAGAGAGTTAAACATCCCAGGAACAAGATGGTGAATCGCCCTCTGCTGTGTTTCCCGATTCCTCCACTAGACCTTCACACACGTATAAAAGAAAAACCATCATTACACATTTGTATGGTAGCTAATTAAAGCAGAATTGCATGTATTTTATTTTATGCCATTAGGGAGGCATTATTCTCCTATTTCATTGTTAAGGGAACAGATTTTTAAAAAAATTATGTGACTTATCTATAAAGCCACACAACTTACAGGAGAGGGGTTGGGACTGGAACTCCAATTTGGGGACTCCCAAGTTCATTCTGTTTTCCACACCCCCTGCCCCCAATGTCACCTCCATTCCTTAAGTGACTGGTTTTCATGTCATTTCAGAAAATTGTGGCCTTGGGCATTGGAGACAGAAAAGGAAGTAACAAACTATGCCTCAGTTTCCCTTTCTGATTTCTCTATGGTTCCATAGAGGGAAAAAAACACATTTAAAAGGTTAGGCATTTGGGCAGCCCAGGTGGCTCAGCGGTTTAGTGCCGCCTTCAGCTCAGGGTGTGATCCTGGAGACCCAGGATCGAGTCCCATGTCAGGCTCCCTGCATGGAGCCTGCTTCTCCCTTTGCCTGTCTCTGGCTCTCTCTCTCTGTGTCTCTCATGAACAAATAAATAATATCTTAAAAAAAATAAAAGGTTAGGCATTTGATTTTGCAAGAGTAAAGTGTCAGGCTAAAGAAAGCAACTCCAGGTATTTTGTGTATTCATATAAGGATTAAAGTAATTCAGTACTTGGAAAGGAAAAAAAACCGCTTACCTGTGATGTAATCTTTCACGTCATGGATTTTGCTTGCAGGGTTGTTATTCCTAAACATATAGAGGTTAAAAGGAGCTGGGTCCTTCCCAATTCTTTTCCAGATTTCTATGTCAGGCGTTGTCCATCGTCCTGCCAAAATATCATAATCCCTTTCTCCAAAGTGGATTAATTTTGTGAGTGGGTCATATAAGCCACCATGAAATCCAATTACCAGTTGAAAGTCAATATTGGAGTCAAAATAGATTTCACCATATGCAGTATACTGAATCTGCTTTAGCATAAGCCCATTGCTACTGAAAACAGCCAATGGCGTCCCTGTGTTATCTGACGCAATGTAGAATTCATCCCCGCTGCTGATTTCCATGGCAAAAAGATGTCCTTGGAGATCATAATAGAGAGAAGTAATTTCTGAACTGGAGTGGTTGTAGACATGAGTAATCCTCGTGGGGTAAGTTAAGTCAGCATAAAAAAACTGCAGGTGCTGCCCCAGACTGGTTTTGCTAGACACACGCCTCCCCAGGCCATCGTAACGATAGATCACCGTCCAGCCACTGCCTTTACTATAAACTCGAGTGAGAAGGCCTTTGGAGCTGTACTCAAAGATCTCTGTGCCTCTTTGACGCAGGAACCCATCTTCATCCAACCGATACTGAACATCCCCGAGGCGGGTGATCCTGTCTCGCAGGTCATAGCGAAGAGGTGTCAGGCGTGCACTGTTACTTGGGTTCAGTAAGTGGAGGTTTCCATTCAGGTCGTAGTTGTAACGCCACATGATCTTTTCATTTAGATAAACTGTTTGGAGCTGTCCATCAACATCATATTCGTAAGCATATTTGGTAGTGTTGGCAAAGGGCCCTATTTTAATTTCTCTTTTGGTTACTCGACCCATGTTATCATATTGAATTGTAATCCAGTACATGAGGGACCTGAATATCTCATACTGAATTTCCTTGATGCGGCCATGAGCATCAAAGTGCTTTGTGTAAGTCATTACAGCTGTGGAAATGATCTGGTTAATGTCGTAATATATAACTCCAAATTTTCCAAACTGCTCAACTTTGCCAGAAATGTCATCAAACTGATAGAGATCAATGGGCAGTGGAGTTTCATTGATGACACCCTGCATGCTGGTCACTCGAAAGCTGTTGTCATAGCTATAGTCAAATCTTGCATTTACCATCCCATCTTCACTAAAGCGGAAAATCTGTCTGTCAATCAGGGGGCCAATTTGCCTGTATCTAATGGTGCAAATAAAACCATCACTCTGGAGGTTTACGGTCTTGAGGACCCCCGCCGTTTCATCATAGGTAAAACTGACTCTTGTGCTATCATATAAAATTTCTGAGAGCCTGGTCTGCCTTCTGTACTTGAATAAGACCCTCCGACTTGTACCCAAGAAGGCCGTTTGCAGAAGCAGCCCTTCCTCATTGTAGTCGGTGATGATCGAGGCGTTGCTTTCTGGGGGGTTGTAGATGTTGCGGTAGTAGCCAATGGACCGGATGGTCTGCATGGTGTGGCGAGCCACGCTGGGCATGGTGATGGCAGACAGCCGGTCCCACATGTCATATTCGAAGATGTACTGCCTCTGGCTGTGAAGCAGGAGAACCATGGACTGCAAAGAGAGAACATACTGTTATTCAATATTTGTGAACGGGGGAATCAAAAGCAGATTCGGTGACCACAAATACACAAACATTTCGCTTGAGAAAATGATTTTCATTTTAATTGAGTTATCCTTGACCTTACATGTTGTTAACGATTCCCTGCCTAATTTGCTTGGATGCTTAATTGTGAGGGGTTCTGCAATTAGTGGCTCAAGATTCATAATGTGCCACTTGTCATGATTGTACCATTCTTTTTCTAGGCATTCACAGCCAAGCAGCAGATTGTCGATGGATTTGGATAAGTCACAATACAGGCACGAGCAAAGCTGCTTTAAAGACAATATTTCAAGGAGAAAGCAGCATATGGGAAATGCAGTCCTATCCATAATTAGCAATTATTTAGTAAGGTGGCTTTTCCCCCTCATTTGATTGAAGAGCCACTCAAATCATGTTTTAATTTCCAGTGCATTTGGGGGAGGAGCAAAACGTTCAAAATATTACTTTATGAAGAAGAGACATAAAATTAGTCAAAAATGGATAATGTGTATATAAAGCATCAACGTCGACAAACATTGCTAAATCACACGGTGAACGTGAACGAGAGCCGTAAAAAGGTGCTTGATAGGAATATGGATCCAGATACGTTTTTTTGTTTGTTTGCAAATTCTTACCTGTCAGTAAGTGGGATGAAAATAAAATCTACATTCTGAAATTTCCTTTTGTAAGTACCAAATCTCATTTGTGTCTCAGCTGCTGTTTAAGAATGGTTTCTGGGCTACCTTCTACTTTGGTGCTAAATTACAAATATATACCTTGAAACGAGCTCTGCTTATTTTGCAAGTAACTGCAGAGAGACACAAGGCCATCATTTATTAGGCCAGGAGAGAAGCCCAACCCTGAGGCTCAACAGTGAACGGTAAAGCTCAATGGTAATACAGAGCATGGGCAACTGAGTCCCTCCTTTGAGGAAGCTTCCCCCAAACCCTGTTAGACCAAATGCAACGATGGCAGATCCGGGAGGATGCATGTGTTAGGAACCCTCCCGGGACTTCTGCTTTGCTTTTCCCACAGAAACACACAATCCCTTGTTCAAGGCTTGTTCCCTTTCTCTTCATTGTCCACCACCTTTGAAAGCAGTTTGCGTGACAGGCTTCTGTAGAGTTTCCTCTGTAGGTGTATCTAGGGGCAGCCTTTGTCTGTTGGCTGTAGAGTAGACATCTTGAGAATTGTTCCTAATAGTTAAAACTGTGCCAAGGAAGGCTTGGATTACTGCTGAGTTCATAGGAGTTAGGCCTTAGTTGTGTAGTCATTTAAAATCACATCTGATGGTGGTTAGTAAAATATCACTTGTGCTGCTATAGGTACTGGCTTAGTGTGCCTATCCTAGCACTAGGAAATGGTCTGGGTAGATTTTAGGGATTTGGGAGAGATGATCCCCACTGATACATGAATGTGATCTCAGTTACTGCTGGTGTCTTTTCGTGACAGTGGCTCTTATCAATACTCTTTGTCCCCTTTGAAACATTTTTTCCCATGACCTTACGATCACTACTATCAATTTTTAGGGTCTGGGTATTTCTGTTATACTTCTCTGTAATGTACTTGATTTAAATTGGGAAAAGTGCTCTAGGATGAAGTAGGGATCCACTCCGCTGTCTTGTGGTTTGTTAAGCTGGCAGGTGAAGTGTTTTTCCAGGCAAGAGAACTCGCTCCCAGGAAGGTATGTGTGTAGTGGGGCTTCCTCTGGGGTCTCTCAACAAATCACTGGTTGGGTAACTGTTGAGTGTGATGATTAGCATTCGAGGGAAACTGTCATCTCATGGGCTAGTCCACTGTCTCAATGGTGAATCTCTTCGAAGGAGAGCAGATAAGCAGTTTGCAAGAGAAAAGACTGGCAAGCAGGGTCCTGGCTGGAAGCATTCCAGAGCTGGGAGGCATCCATGGTGAGCTCTGAACCTGACACTGGTTCTCCGGAAGGGTGGTCCGTGTCTAGCCTGTCTAGAAGTAGACGAGATGACTCCCGGGCAGTGGGGTCAGGCTTAGACTGAGGAGTTGGACAGAGCACCTCTAGTGGAAAGCAAGACCGTGGGAGGCGAACACAACAGTGCAGACTTGGGTTTGGGATGACGGGCTTCCCTGCCTAATAATGCACGTAAGGCTGGAGACAACAGCCGTAGAGCTGAGTTTGTGACTTAGGCTGGTGCGTGCCTGGTGGTGGCATGCCCTGAGGTGTGACAACCACTGTAACTCAAAACAGAGCCACTTCTTAGTGCTAACATTTGTCTCAAAGGCAAACAAAACATTTCACGAATATGCTCTTTGGTGGATTCTGTTTTCTAAGAAGGGAATTGCAGGGCAGTGGCCCATTCCGTATCCTTTTTCTTTTGCTTTCATCCCCCTGGACCACAGCCACTGCCCCAAATCTCTGAGTGTGACTTAGCACTTTGCACATGGGTAACTTTAAGTCTTTTTTGGGTCTCGTGCCAAGTGCTTAAGGACGGAGGAAAGCCTAAGCGAGCATGCTTACACCTTTTATATGCAGAAGAAAGGAGAGATGCCTCCGAGTACCTGAAATGTGACTTTCTTAAGAAAAAAATAGCCTCTTTTGGTTAATAATGTATAAATAGGATCTACATGCTTTTTATGGTTACGTTGAAGCTCTGCCAGCAACAACACAAAAGTGACAGCTTCAACTGTGCTAACATAAGGCTCTTTCTTAAATGAAAGAGCCAGCACGGAGATTATTTACAAATGACTTACACGCTCAAGGTCTAATTTGTGGATGTTGTCGATGTATGGACTTGGCAGGTGGACAGTGTTCTTGCTTGTTTGTTTGCGGCATAAATCACTCAAAAGGGTCTTAGGTAGTAGAACTTAACTAAGGGAAAACTACTCTTACTAATGCAGAAATTCATCACTGCCGTTCCGATGTGACTTCCATATTGATACTTAGAATAATAAATGGAGCTCTTTCACAGGACCCCGTTTTTTCTCCCCCCACCGCAGGGCTCTGGGCGACTGCTAAAAAATCCGAATCATCGCTTCCCTCCTCTGACTCTTACTGTGCAGGCATACCTTTTCTAGGTAGGTGTAGCTCCACGTTTTACCGTCAGCAAAGACCCGAGACACGATCCTCCCCTGGCCATCATAATCGACTTTCTCGCTAGTGGTTCCCCGTTGGACGCTGGCAATCTGACCGGTGGACGAATAGGTGACATTGACTGCCATCAGCTTGCTGCTCGGCAGCCAGAGAGTCGGGTGCCCTGACATGTCGTAGGCGATCCTCAGTAGAAATTTACGGTGGTCATCATAGATCTTTTCTGTCTTTGTTGTTCGATCAAAGTCAACCGAAAGGAGGTTTCTGCCATTAACCTGTTACAACACAAACAGGATGATAACATAAATCATGCTATTCCAACGCTAGTCCCTTATTACTCTTCAGAGTCCCCACTATTGTTTAAACACCATTTATGATGATTGATTCCCTTTGTCAGTAAATTAATTTAGCAACTTCTTGGGTACAAGTGCAAGGCAGTAGATTAACAGCCCCTTTAAAAGGTTTCATTAAGCAGAAAGACAGCCTGGCATTTGTTCAAAACCTTTTCAATTAAATGTTGTAAACTTAAGCAAGTGATAAGAAAAATACCAAAACGTATTCGCTTTAAAGTCTGTTCAGAAGATGTGAAGGCAGTAAACATGACAATGTCTGGAAATTACTCAAAGCCTCTCCCTCCAGAAGACATTGGAAAATAGCTGTTTCGTAGATTCACCGCGGCTACATGAAATAAAAGTGGCTAAGTGTGACTCCGGCCCTTTGAAGAACGGTGAAGGAGAAGCTGGAACCCACATTACTGTAAATTATTAATGAGTTTAAATAGCAGGAGGTTACAAACACGATCACTGCTTTTGGCCCCGTGCTGAAATGTCCCAAGTTTTAGAACGCCCTTCCCTTGAATAACATCTGCTGGACTGGCAGGGACTTCAGCTGCTCACCCCCATATCTACATGGTCTATCCTGCTTAGCGTACAAACCTAGCACCGTGTTAGGGTAGTAGGGTCTCCGCGCGGCCCTGTGCCATGGCCCGAATCTCCGACCACACTTGGCTATGACTGTCTGTCATCCAAGGCACATGTAAAACCAGTATTCGTTACCACAGTGGAAATGTGGCCTTGATTAAAACTCAACTTTAAAAACGGTCTGCAGGAGGCACTTGATGGGATGAGCACTGGGTGTTATTCTATATGTTGGCTAACTGAACAATAAAAAATAAATTTATTAAAAAAAATAAAAAATAAAAATAAAAACGGTCCGCAGTGTCCTGAGGACCCCCTAGGAGAAGACCTTCCGAACCAAGACAGAAGCGTTTGTATGGTGATAGCCTGTACCTACCAAAATGTGCACTGACTACTGGACTGTTAAAAATTACATGGGAAAATCCTAATTTTACATGACCGTGTGTCAGCTAGCTCCAGCTAATCAGTGATACACATATGCACACACACCACACCCACACCTGTGTGCAGCACAGACATAATACGCCTGCATACTTACATAAAACCTGGGATAAAACTAATGTGTGCATTCTATCATGGGCATTAAACACGCCCCATGAAAAAATACTCTTTAAGCTTAAACTCTCCTGGCGAGCGTTGGATGGGATCAGGAGGTCGTCCTGTCCTGGCTCCACCGTCCAGACCCTGCAGTGGTGGAAACCACCGGTAATGCCCCACCCCCGCCGTGCCACAGCCGAATGCAGCGTGCAAGGCCTGTGTGTGTGTGTGCACGCGCTGCAGGGAGGCGCCTGGGAGCAGGAAACCCCACATCCACACCTGACGGGGTGGAGCAGCAGCAGGACTTTGAAGCTGTCTGTCCATCCGTGAAGTGCTGGCCCAGGGCCCGCAGCTCGGTCGAGGACGTGGACAGCCCGGCCCGCTGAAGGCGCTGGGCTTCCGTCTTGCGCCGCGGGCAAGTCTACACGGCAGCCCCCGCCCCGGGAACTGGCTGGAGCCGAATCGAGGTTTGCAGCACGCCCCGTGCAACCCTGGAAGGCAGCTGCTAGCTAATATTACGGATACACGTTTTAAAGCCTGCGGGACGATTTGATTCGATAGCAAATTAACTCCATATGCAACTGCCAACATCCAGCTCATCTTTGCACAGAATTTTTGACGCCCTAGGAAGAGGCTCTGCACAATTTCAAGGGTTTCCTACGGTTCTTGACCATATTTCTCCGATTGTGTTTTAAGAGGAAACACCGACGACAGCTGTGCATGCTTAGTTGAGCCCTCTCTGCTCCTGCCGTGGGTTGTCCCGGCCTGCGCGTGGCCACGTCCGACTGCCTGGGCTGTTTCCATGGACTGTGCTGCCCCATCTGTTTGCATTTTGCTTCGTATTCATTTTAATTTGTATTTCAATCCTTTATTGCTTTCCTTAACCGCCCTTTATCTCTGCAGTGCTGCCTCCGGTTAGAGCCCGAGCAATCTGGATTGCAGACCCGCTACAACCGCGTGGGTATGAAAGGGAGCCGGGCGTAGGGCGGCCTGGGGCCTTCTTCCCACCGCCTGCACCCTGCCACCCTTCCTCCTCCTCTGGTTCGTGGGTACGGCTGCGCGACACCAAGGCATACAGGTGACAATCTTGTGGTGTGTAGCCGCGGTGTGCGCACCACCATATGGAACATGCCACCATATGGAAACATCTAGAAGCGCTGTGAGACCGAACATCTGGGTTCAAGTTTAAATTTTTCTTTTTATCCAGACAAACGCTGTGTGCAATGCCTTTCTTGTGTCCTCAGACCGGAGCAATGAGGAAAGAATTAGCATGTGGCTGTGTTTCCCCCCACATTCCCAAAATGAGCCAAGGTCTCAACCCTTCTTACTGTTTCCAGACACCAGTCATTGTTATTCAACATGTAAAATTTCAAAAGATACTAACAGATCTTTTGTTTCCTCTCTTCTTCCCACACACGCCCAAACTTTCTCCTTCGGGTATTACAAACAAAGTGCAGAAGTCAGGGGACATTTCCATTCTAGGACAGGATCTTACTTAACTATACCTTTATGTAATTATGGCAACGTTTCAACCCTTTTTCCCCCTTTTTTTGACAGACATAAAGGACCGGCATTGTTCCGTGCCCCAGTGGCCTTTTAATAGTTTTAATATAAGAAATATCAATTTAAATTGAACAGTTCATCTAAGATGAACACCCTCATATCAGATCATTACCGTACCTCTAGCTCTATAAAAATGAATCCAAATGTGTTTGGGTAAGAGATCACCACGAAGTCCTCTGTGATATATCGTATTTTTTTTTTAAGTAAGCATGGAGAATCCTCATTTTCAAAGATCATGTCCTGCCTGTGAGGAATCACAGCGTCCCTTTGATATCGGGACGTGGGGGTGAGGGTAGTTATCATCTCCCCTCTAGACAAACTAAGGCGTAAAGATGTTGAACAACGTCCTTATGTGTAAAGACATAAAGCACCATAGGATGATAGTCACGTATCCAGGATGTTGTAGAGCGAAGTGAGGAAGGGTTGGCCCGTTTACCCAGTATACTTGGCGACAACGTCATGACTCCCTTGTGTCCCCACTGGAACTTCAACTGGCTGCAGACTGTTTTGCGTCTGTCCGCACGTCAGCAGGTGCTAACCGCGTGGGACCGTCCCTTTCAGGCCACGCCACTCGGCGTTGAGGGAGAAACAGCACATCACACAAACGTGACTTGCAGAATAAGGTTCAAGTGTCTTATTGTACCTACATATGCCTTTAAACACACCTTTGCCTTTTGACTTTTGAGAGTTTCTTTTTTGAACAACTCACTTTTTTTTTCCTTTAAGCATCTGAATTCTGGGCAAGTTTAGAAGATAAATCTTTCTTTTCAGAATGCCATAGCACTTTTTAGTAAATGATTAAAGGCTGGTTCCAAAGTCCAGCACTGACAAAAAAACCAAAAAAACCCCAAAAAACAAAAAACCCCCAAAAAACCCAACTAGGAACATTTACCAAACGTAAGAGAAAGGCACGCGATATTTATGCCTGTGTCTTTTTTTTTTTTTTTAACTTAGCCACAAACAAGCAAGCTCTGGAGTGTCTAATCTTCATTTTGCAATGCTTTTCCACACCTCTCATGATTTCATTTGCTTGCGATTTCCGACTGTGATCTCCCTTCCCCTTAATGCGTGTTTCACAGAAAATGCTTTCCATGTCGCTAGTTTCTTATTAATGTTCCTTTTCTACCCTTTGCTTTAAAAAAAATTTTTTTTTTTAAACGACAGTATCTGGTGTTATATCAATTACAGCTATTTAGACATTTAGAGTCAGGTTTGTTTATAGCAGTCAAACACCTGCAAGGATGTGCTATTCATATAGCTTCTCCCTTGGACCTAGATGCGGAGGGATGATCCATATTACAAGGCTTGCTTTTCCTTATTCGTCCACTGAATAAATATTTGAGTGCCCACTCTGTGTCAGGCACCTAGCTAAATTTAGGCAAACCCCTTAAAAACGAAAAGAAGTTTCTGCTAGGAAATAAGGCAAGGGAAGAGAGGGGATGTTCTCTGTTTCAGGAAAGGCTGGGATGTCTTTTGGACAACTGAGTCCCTCGCGAGTCTTCTGTCCTTTTCCCTCTACTTCTCTTCCTTATTTTGGCAGATTCCAGGTCCAGTCCTTAAACCAGATTTTCACATCATCACTTTCTCCCCTGAGTTTCTCCCTCAGAACCAAAGAGGAATGAAATTAGTAGTCAGAACTGGCACATCCAATCTTATCTTGAAAGTAAGAGACCCTCCTTTGTGATCTTGGCATTGTCTGCAGGACAGCAATCACACAGATCAGCTGGAAGTCTTCCAGTGTGACTGAACAGGCCACTTTACATGGTGCGTGCTCTGAGACATCTCGCCGAGGCGTTGTGGCTTCTGCTGGGTAGAAGCAACAGCACCCAAGCCTCTGTGCCCTTGGCTCCTCTTCCCCCCGAATGAGGTAGTTGCTTCATTCTGAATCAGGCAGAGAACCAGCGACATAATACAACAGGATCTTCTCTTTTCCTTTGCCCGATTTTCTTTTATGCCTAGAAAAGCCATGTTATGAAGAGATAGAGGCTATGCTCAGACGCGGCTTGTCTCAAAGAAGAGAAGGCAGCGTGTTATGTGATCACCTTCCGGGCAAAGCGTTTTTACTACTCTTCCCTCTTTTGCCCTGTTTTCCTAACCTGGGTGCTAAATGGCTCTTTTCTATCCACCTGTTTGGTAGGTATAAACGCCCAACGTACACGTATGTGTAGTTCTGGTACATGGTAGTGATTCTCTGGGTTAGGGACTATATAATCATGCCTTTTCTTTTTTTTTTTAAGATTTAATTTATTTATTCACGAGAGACACACAATGAGAGAGAGAGGCAGAAGCAGGCTCCATGCAGGGAGCCCGACGTGGGACTTGATCCCGGGTCTTCAGGACCACGCCCTGGGCTGAAGGCAGGCGCTAAACCACTGAGCCACCCGGGCTGCCCATAATCATGCCTTTTATTTACCACCTGCAAGTGGTATCGTTTGATGCTGTAACAGTTGTGTGCAATGGAGGCAGGGCAGGGTAAATGGTATTTATCCATCACGGGTACTCAATGTGTATAATATATGTCTAGACGCAGCTGATGTCTGTATTATGTCTGTATTATGTCTGTATTATGTCATAACATTATGATATCTCTAGATAATATGACATATCCTATATGCATATCCTGATATACGTAAGGAAAATGACGTTTCAGAGACGTTATGATTTTCCTGTAAGATTTACTATTAGCAAGAAGTGGAGCTAGAACTCACGGGTTTGGGATCTGCTCAGTGCTGTGGCTTCTCTGGTGTGCAGAATGAGGAGCACAAATGTGAGCAGCATCTTTGTATCTTTTGGTGAATGAAGTCTTGTGTCAGAGGATAGGTGTGATGACTCTGCATGTTTGTGTGTGTGTGTGTGTGTGCGTGCGCATGTACATCATGCCCATGGTGGGGATGGCTGGATAAGATAAAGCCTGTGAACTAGCTGCTAGTTCACCATGGTCCTAGGAAGCAGGGGCCCTGGAAAGAAGCAGTAGGTGGGTGCAGGCCACTGATTCCCAGGTTCAGTGGAGGGAGAGGCGGGAGCTGGAGTCTACAGGGCAACAGACCAACCCCATGAAAGGGACCCCAAACAACTCTGGAAATGGCTTTCTCTCCTGTGAGTTTACCTTCAACTCTGTTGCTCTTCCCTCTAGGGTTCTCTCCCTTTTTCTCCTTACTTCTCTCTCTGAATAACCTCCTCTCCGGCGTCCTGTCCCCTAGCTCCTGCCTGCCACAGCTCCTGAGCCCGGGGCTTGGAGCTCAAGTATCCTGGCTCCCACGGCCTGGGAGATACGGGAGGTGGGAGGACATAGCACTGGTGCCAGAAGGTCCCTTACTGAGAGTCCCAAACACCTGCTTTGAAATTGAAGTGGACTCAGAATGTAATCTGTAGGTTGGTTGGATATGGGCTGTATTTGATCCACTGATCCTTTATTGCTTTATTTCTATTTCTTGGAAATAGCCAGAGACAATATGTATTACCTATTTCTTACCCTGAAGCATTCTCAAGGTAAATCACATTGGCCTCTTACAGGAATAATTTAACCATTTTTGGTGCAGGAGAAAGGACACTAATGGTATGCTCCACGTTTTTTTCTCTTCTTAATTTTAAATCCTTTTTTTTCCTACATGGCAAGGGGAAGTAATTTTAGGAATAGTTGTCTACATTTATCTGATGAATCAGGTTCAGTTTATAGTGGTTTGAAGGTGGTTCTGTGTAACCTGTGTTTTAGTACCTAATCTATGTTGTTTCTACCAAATAGCCGTCATAAATCACAGCTCGCTTTCTGGATATATTTGGCCCACAGGGTGAGAGGGGAGGGGAAAAAAACACCCAACAAGGTAATGTGCAGAACATTTTGCAAAGATCAATTACACTAGCATAATCAGAAATATCCTTGCATTTCTTGTAAAAGCAATGTAAATCAAGAGCAAGGAGGCAGCAGTCAGGTTTTGCTATGGATGCTCTTCCAAGTGTCCAAACTATACTCCAATATATTGAGAATGCAAAGAATCCACCTTCCAATGGCCAGCCCATCTCTTTCCATGTACATATTTATATTCTGGGACACTTTTCAGTATTTAAGCTAACTCTTACTTATCCTCATCCCCACATTGGGAAGCCATCCGAAGTGAGCGGGTAAAAGAGAAGTGTAAGATGATCAAGCTAATGTTAGTAAAACAACAATGGACTGACATCCAGGCTATCTGGGATTGTGCGCCATGCAATTTCCCGATTTCTCAGGGAAGAGCTGGTTTTTAATCACAGATATATTGAGAAAAAGCTTTTCTCCAATAGCTGGCGTTTATTACGAATGATCTAATGGCTTGACGGTTGGCTATAACCTGAGCTGTCAGGGAAGGTGCTGCCCTGAGTTTGGCTCAGGGAGGATGAGGATGAGGAGGGGATGAGCGCCAGGCCCACCCTCAGGGACACGTCACCTACTCTCTGAAACTTGCTTACCCTAAGCTTTCGGCCGAAGACGTTGACTTTTCCTTGGGCTTGCTCTTTTCGGAATCTCCACTCGACCAAATTTTGACCGTTTTCACCAGGAAGACTCATGTTTCTTTTGGCAACTGTTGGATTAGCGGTGCCGGCCAGAACGTGTGGCTCCGTCTGGTAGTGTGAATCCAGGCCGCTGGCGTAGATGATTCTAAGGGAGCCATCGTAACCAATCTGGTAGCTGTTTCTTAACTGATCTGAAAAACAAGGAGCAGAAAACAGGAAACTACAAATCGGAACTGAACATTTGGTTGGTTGTGCAGTTAGAGGTGACAGACGTTTCTAAAACATTGAACTCCATATATAAGGGGATAAAGAGTACCTAAGGATGTCCTTTTAGAACAAAGCAAAAGAACTTTGATCTCCGGCATTTTGTGCTGTGACAGACTTAGCTGAAAAGTGAAGGCAGGACTTCAGGAGCATATAAAATCCTTCTCCACTTTAGATTTCTTTTTCTCATTGGCCTGATGGAATAAGCGAGGGGCCAGTCTCCACAGACATGCAGTGAAAGGTTTTGCCAAGAGCGATATAAGTGCTCCCTCGGGAGGCTGGTATGTCACTGCTGTCACTGCCAGGGTCTCAGAAGACTCCCCTCCTCTACACCCATCTATCGTGTATTAAACATCTTCTGAAAAGATTTCATATCTATACATTGTATACCAAAAATATAGGAAGATATTCCTCTGAAACGGACTTTTAAAAAAGTGAGCCATCTTCTATTTTGTATATAACTCCTCCCCTTGAATTATAGGCTACTGCCTCAATTTAATATTTTTGAATTGTATTGGACCATTTGGGTAAGAAATGAATTCAAGCAGTATCAATTTTAGATGCCTGCAGAGATTACTTGAGGGAACTGGTAAAAATAATGAGTCAAAAAGGTTTAATTCGGGTTTAGTAATTATTCTTAGAGCTATGACCTCACAATTGTAACTTTTTATTACTGTAAACAGGCTTTTCCAAGATTATGTCAAAAAGGAACATGGCAGGAGGTTCCATCATGAATGCATCAGACATATACGCCTATAGACTGAATGGGGAAAAAAAAGTCTAGCTATCACATAGATGGACGTGCAGAATTTGGTATCGAATTTCCAGTGATCACATCACGTGTGGACTGAGATGAAGGGTCGTGTGTGGATTCAGAATGTGATCGGTCTCAAATAACTGCACTTCTACGGCCATGAAGAGGACCCACTCCCCAAAGCTGCAGCAGATGACTCAGAAAGGGTTTGATGATGCACGTGAAGAGCTGCAATGAAGTTGTTTTTGGAAGCAGGGGTCTCCATCAGGTGATCTACGATATGTAGCTATCACGAAATAAACACTAGTCACGGCACTGCTTCACCAACATCTCTAGAGGTTTGTGTTTTCACCTTCCCTTTGCTGGCTCATCTCAGAAAGCGGGGTCACCGCATTCTATGGGGGGGTGCTGGTGGCATTTAAGGTTATCAGTTTAAAATTATGCTTTCGTGTTTACCTTGAACCATGGTGTAGAAGGAGTCGATCGAGGAGAGATTTGAAGTGATGCTCACATCCTCTTCACGGCTGGATGACTCGATGTCCACTGTGATGGCCTTGTCCATGTCCCCGTGCAGGTTTGTGACCACCCCGGTTGGAAATGTAACATTTGTCAGACGACCTTCGCTGTCATAGCTAAATAAAGGAGGCAACGACTTGGTGTTACATGGCAAACGGCTGGTTCTCCTTACTTATAAACATAAGGGGAGGCAATATTAGCTGCAGAAATTTGGAAGGATATTTGTCTTTGTGCATGAGCCATGCAGAGTGAGGACTTCAAACGTGCTTTGAAGTAATCAAAAGCCTGTTTAACACAGAAAAACCTCACCGGTGAGAGAAAGAGTAAATAGACTAGCTCTCCACCTCAGCATATTATTCTTTGAAGTGTGACCAAAATCCGCCTGCACATCTAATTTGCTGTTTCAAAGGGAACATGTTTACTGATATTAAATTCCTTAGTATTCTCCATATTTCCTACAAAGTAGATTTAATTCGCTGTTATATCAGTTTTTAAAGTTTTACTAACTTACGCCGTCTATGGCAGTGCCATATGAATATATACAATTTTGTAAAACAATATGCATGTATACGCATCTGTATTTGCATATGTAAAAATATTCTTTTAGCATCTTGCAATGTCTTCAACAAAGTAATAAAATAAAGCCATTTAAAGAGTTTCTTATGCCTCAGTGTTGAATACTTTATATTGGTATATTGGGACTTAAATGTTGGCAGGGGTGGTGATAATCTCTCTCGTCTGGACTGATGTTGTAGAAATGGGTGAGCTCTTGAATGATGATTTGTTATGTTTACTGAAATGCGATGTCCTATTTCCTGACATTTCATGATTAGCTGCTTTTTCATTATACACTTCGTTTTTTTTAAGCATAGTAAATAGAAGTGGAACATATAATTAAAATGTTAGGATATATCTTAAAAAGCTGCCCTAGAATCATAATTATGCATCACAGCTACAACACGTTAGTAAAGAACTGATTTGGCAGTGACTTTTCTATTTGTGGCGGCACCAAAGAATATTTCAAAAATGACAGTGAGGTTTGAAGAGAGAACCCCCCCCCCCACAAATTCCAGGTGGGACACGAGGAACTTCCTTGGGACAACAGCACGTGTAAGTCTGGGCTTCAGATCAATACTAAGCCTGCTTCATTAAGGAAAAGTCTAAATGAAATGAAGACTAGCACCATGTTTGACCTACACTAAGCCCAGATACAGAACAGAAGCGAAACAGTCTTCTTTGGCAAGACCGAAATTCCCAGGGGATGGGAAAAAGTGGGGAGCATCCCAATAATAGGGGTAAATATAGGAGAGCAGGGATGAACAAGTAGAAAAAAGGACTTAAATGATACTTTGCAATAAAAGAAGCGGGGTTTAGAGGGTCAAAAAGTAGCTTTGGAAACTGTGGTTAGTACTTAAGATAATGAAGGTGGAGAAGACTCAGCAAGGGTAGCACCATGGTAGAGACAGGAAGGAAGGAAGGAAGGGAGGAAGGAAGGAAGGAGGAAGAAAGGAAAGAAGGAAGGAAGGAAGGAAGGAAGGAAGGAAGGAAGGAAGGAAGGAAGGAGAGAGATGATGTCTGTTTGGGGCCCAGTGATGAGGCGATCCCATTAACTCCGAGGGGACAGTATCAGTCAGATGGAGGGCCTGATGCACCTGCTCCGCCAACGTGCCACGCGGCCTAGCCAGCGGCACATGCGGGCACTCGGGGGAGAAGCAAGCGAGGACAGGGAAGCAGAGGGAAAGGAAATGCGCCGTTAAGTGCAATCATTGTTTGGACCCATAAAAGGCAGAGCTGAAATGAAAAAAGGCAGACTTGTTCCCCTCCCCACCAACCCAAATGCCCCCAGCAGATGAAGACGTCAATGAAAGAAATCCAGCACGGCTCATTGCGGTCATTGCTTTTAAAAAGAAACTATTGCTCCTGAGAAAACAAACAAGGCATAGCTTATTTCTGCAGAATTATGGACAAAAATCAGCTTAAGGTTCAGTTTTCACCTGGACACAAACCTGGCATCCCTTGACATTTCTCACGCGCCATCGTGCTTTGAAGAAACCCGTAATGGGTATGAATGCTCCTGCATCAAAGGCAGTTCGGTGCTACATTCTCCCCCGACCCCCTCCCATTTTACAGATGGAAAAAGGGAAATACGATGCACCCAGATGACTCGATCAGGCTCTCCTGGCGTCCGATGACCGGGCCCTGCTGGGGTTTCCACGCGCCGGATCCCAGGCCCACGATCCTTCTGCAAACCAGAGCCTGCCGGATAGTGGCGAACGACAGCTTTGGAGAGATGATGCCACCTGCAAGTGCGTCGTGGCTCCATTCTTGCTGCTGTCACTTGCCTGCCCCTTTCTGACCCTCTTGCCCGTTTGTTTGCTGGCTCCATTCCATCTAAGCGGGAGCGTCACCTTTCTCCTGCACGAAGCATTTCTCCCACCTTTGCCTCCGCTCTTTTGCCGGCTTCCGACCCACTCTGGGGCCTGCTGGGCAGGCGTTTGGTATCACAGGAGGCTGAGCGCAGCGCCACGGACCCTGCGAGGCCGCACACTTCAGACTCTTAACCTATCAGCCTTTGGTTCTTCGGAAAATAAAAATACAAGTAACCTTTGCAGGCAGTGCAACTCAGAGGGGCACGGGGTTAAGCCGGGATCTTAGGGGCCCCGCTTTCCAGCTGAGCCCTGGAAGTCCTGAATCGGTGCCTGCAGAGCAGCGGCTGGATGGACAGAGGAGGGTCCATCAGCCCCGAATCGGGTGCAGGGGCCTAGGGCAGCTGCAGGAGGCAAGGGAAGGCCAGGCTCTCACCAGGCTCATGTGCTGGCGGGGCCGGAGGAGCCCAGGGGCGAGGCCACACGTCAAGCGGCCTCCCAGGCCTGCCAATTCTACCCACCAGAAAAAAAAAAAAAAAAGATCTGGGACCCATAGAAGATTTTTTAAGATTTTATTTATTTATTCATGAGAGACACAGAGAGAGAGAGAGAGAGGCAGAGACACAGGCAGAGGGAGAAGCAGGCTCCATGCAGGGAGCCCGAAGCGGGACTCGATCCCGGGTCTCCAGGATCATGCCCTGGGCCGAAGGCAGTGCCAAACTGCTGCCCCCCTCATAGAAGATTTTTATCTAAAAAAGTATTACCTTGTTATCCCCATCATTTCCTAAAAGGCCATTTAAGCAAACCAAGGGTAGAAAGGACCTAACGACCGGGCGAGAGACCATGGTTTAAAAGGAATAAAGTAAAGCTTGGTGAAAAAAATTCTCCATGTCGTTTAGGTTTTCGTGTCAGTGTGGATCAGTGAAAACCCTCCCCACGGATCAGCACCTGCGTCAAGGAAACGCAAAAGAGATGGAACAGAGACATTACCATGGCCAGGGGCCTCGGGAGAAGGCAGTGAGAAACAAATCAGTAGTCAAGGGTGAGCCCTTCTTTTCTTCCACAAGGGGAGGGAGACGGCGATCGGCCGGCTGTCCTCTGCAAAGTTCTGTCCCTCCGCGCCAGCAGAGGCCCTCCCATGGAACCAGCCTCGGTGGCTTTACCCAATGGCCTTTGGGGGGGCGAACCAGCCCTGCCCAGCGTGTGCACCTGAGATGCCGCTTTTCTTTCATCAGCCTCTTGGACGGCCAGTGCCCCAGGCTCCAGGGAATCTGGGTGTAACATCAGCTTCGTGCTCTCCAGCCCACTCATCTGGGCTCAGCCTCAGAGCTTCAAATTCCTAACACAGCACATTCTTTTTCGCTCCCGATTGACCCTCTTCACAAAGGACTCTCCCCCGCAAAGACACACTCCCTCCGGCTCTTCGTGACCTTCTGCTCTTCCACTGATGGGATGCCCTGAGCTGATGTTTATCTATTTGTTCGTCTTTAATTTTGATTGCATTTCTGCCTAGACTTGCTGTTTTAGCCTGTGCGGTGTGTTTTTAAATCTCTTTTTAAGTTTCCTAAGCAGTGGGATTATCGACCAATGGCCCAGAGAGTCAGCCTCAGGCCCTGTCAGTGGAAATGCCGCATTCATCCCGACGTGAAGACGGCCTCTCCCCTCGGTGTAGACAGAGGCGCCCACCCTTCGCTTCCCTCCGGATCCCTCGGATCCCTTCCCACCACCGCCCTAACCCTAAATACTGGTCTCCTTGCCCCTCCCCGTGCTCACGGGGCCCAGCTCACCCTCCCAGACGCCACTCCTACACAGCCTGCCTGCTCGCACATCTTCTGCGGCTCCTCAACGGAGAGAAAAACTGCCTGAGTCAGACGGTTACCATCACGACGTCAATAGACCGTCGATATGGCAAATGTGCTCGAGTGGAAACACTGTGCCGTCCTCGCCAACTGCCTTTGAAACCCAGCAACAGGATCATCTGTTGTCAACAGTGTTTTCCCACAAGATGGCCTCTTTAATCAAACGTCACGTTTTAAAAATGATCTCCTGCTTCTGGGAGAAATCTGTGTGCGTGAGAGTCGGGCTTTGGAGAAGCAGGTGGAACCCAGAGGAGGGGCCGCTTGCAGGAGCGGTGGGCTGAGCGTGGGCTTCTCATCCAGCCCGACACGGAGCTGGTCTTTCTCAAAGCGGACGCAGACTTACGTATCGACTCGGACCATGTTCGAGATGCCTCTCTCCCAAACCTTTATGCTCTTCACCCAGAGAAGAGTGAAGCTGGATGTAGGTTTTATTCTGAGGTATCCGTATATACATGCGTGGGCTTCTCCAGCCCAAAGTCGGCCCGCTCTGAGAGGGCAAGACAGCAGATTTCGGGTGGGCCACATTCTGGAGACCTCTGGAGGGGGCATAAATGGTCAAGTCCGAGTTTAGACTGGCCCTACCCTGTCTTTCCTGGGCCATCCCAGGATAGGCCTACTCTGGGGGCTGCTTAGTGAGGGCACATCCTCTGCTTTCAGCCTAGTGTCACAGTAAGGACGCCTGTGAAGGAGACTTACCCAACCTGCCTTTCTCCTCACTGTCCCCTTGATACAGAGAGAGAATGTTTGCTTCCAACTTCTGGAAGGTTCCTTAGGTTCAAATTTTCTTCCATAGTTTAATTAGCCAGCAAACCCCCCCTAACTCCCCCCAAAAAAACCTTCCCTTAATCTCACCATCCGTCATGGCAATACTTTTTTCCCCCACAATGCTAA